TTTCGCCACGCCCACACGCGTCTCGCCACGCCTCACGCACCCTCGCCACGCCCACTGTCGGCCCGAGTCTTCCCTTCCGCCCGGGCCGCCGCCCCCAGCCGCGCTTAGAGCTTGACGCTAGCCCGGTTGCTCCTCCTCCGGCCCGCCCCCCTGTCTCCAGCGGGCCTCCAGACCTGCGTTGCTGGTTGTTTTCTGTCCGGAGGGCTATGTGGATCTGCGAAAGGAGGCCCTGAAGGAGTCTTTGTTTCTGCAGACCCCCGCGGACACCCGACAGGGGCCCCCCTACCTGGTCGGCTCCACCCGCGGCCATCTTGGAAGTGGGAAGCGGCCGGGAGGGGGAAGGGGCACGAGCGGACCGCGATCAGGCATGGAGAGCTGAGCGGCGGAGCGCATCGATGGGGCGCCCCTACCCGCGACAGGTGTGCGGGAGAGGTGGCCTGGGCCACTACTGGGCCAAAGGAGTGTGTGCGGTACCTGAGCTCAGTCCAGGACGGAAGCCTTCGGAGGGGTACTGTGGTGTCCTCCAGCGCGGCCTTAGTCTCTTAATCTGTAAAATGGCCTTTTCGGCGCGCACTCTTTTATCACACTTTTACAATAGTGTACTTCCCAAACCTGTCTGCACTTTAGTGTCACCTGACTGGCTCTTAAAATTCCAAACCCCAGGGGAGCGCTCCAGGCCGGTCAGTCTGGTGAGAGACAGGTAATATCAGTTTTGAAAACTGTGGAAAATGCAGAATTGAGAACCCCTGGCCTAGGGTTGAACATTGCAAAAAATGTCAGAGACCAGAGTCTGTGATCAAAGCTGTTTTACACAATGGGGGACAAACTCAGAGATGAAGCCCTCTGCCCAGCACCCCAGGACAGGGTAGAGCTGAGGGAGGCTGTAACCAGATACCCCACCTATTGCCTTCCTCCCAACTGCTGAAGTTAATGCAAATGCTCTGAATGAAAGAGTCTAAGAAAGAAAGTTAACAAGTACTTGATCCTTATCCTTTAAAATGTAGGCTCCCTGTGCTAACCTGAGCTTCAGGTATTTACTGCTGTTTTCCCTGGGCCTGGCAAGTAGTAGGTACTTGACTATTGGGTTATCATTAGGTTCTGGGAAGGTCATCCCAAGAAGAAATTCGGTGGCTGGGAGCCTGAAGGCCTACATTTACTCTAGGCTTTACCTCCTACCAACCATGAGCCCTGAGGAATGTCATAGGCAGAAGGATGACAAGAAAGGAAACCCCAGAGAGATTACAGATGAATCTAAGGGAGGACTTGAACTAGCAGAGCAGTCAGGGACAGAAAGGGTAAGTGCCCATCACATCTGGAAGCAGGCAGTGGAAGATTCACTGCATGGCTATGGCGGTTATGAAGAAGTGATGAAGAGGCCAGAGAACACCTAACTTCTCTCTTCTGTCTGGCTTCTAGCTCTAAAAACCGTTAGCATTTATTAGTTATGATGGGAGGAGGACCAGGATTTTAAAAAGACAATATCCTGGGCTGGCCTGTCATTCGGTGGTTAAGGGAGCCACATAGCTGACCATGCAGATCAAATCCCAGCCCCAGCAGCTTAAAAAACATGCCATGTGCATGTGTGCCCAAACCCCCAACAGGATTGAGAAACGGAGGAGATGAGATCGTAGTGTCCCATGGCCAAATGAAGGGGGCTTTCTCCCTCCCTCTGGGAAGTGCACACACCTGTTGGCAAAATTACAGAAAGGAAAAAAAATAAAGGCAGTTTCGATGGAATGCACTAACATCCCTCACAGTGGTACATCACAGACACTTAAATTTCTGGTAGTTTCAAGTAAAAATAATGTCAGTTCTACAAACCCCTATGTTCCCTCCATGGGCTTGTTTTTAAGTAAACACTAATAGCGAAGTACACACTTGCTTCAGTATTAAATTAGCGATTTAATACATTGGGTTAATAGATGTGCTTTGGCCGTGTTCTTTGCGACTCCCCAAATCTCTTCCGGCCCTAAGTCTGAGTCTTAGGGTTTTAAAACCATGCAGTGACAAGGAACCATTGTTCTGTATTCAGAACCAAAAGGTTTGTGGTCCACGAACTTGCATTTGGCGCCCTCTATCTGCCTTCCCCTCACCCTGGCCATCCTGCTGCCCCAGGACCCAGAGCCTCTCCCTGGGAACCTGTCCTTACATCCTCTGTGACTTCACCCTTGTCTTAACTTTTGTCTTCACTGCCCAAAAGCATTCCAGATAAATCCTCATTGCAACTTGAGTCTGACAAAATTAAGAACACAGTGAACAGGACTTAGCTGTGTGACCCTTGCATATCACTTCACCTCTCAGAATTTCAGGGCCCTCAAAGCTGCCGTGGAGACCGTATGTAGCTGTATCAGGACAGTCATTCCCAGGTCTCCCCTCTGCTGTTACCTGCTACTCCTGAAGGCTGGCCCCAACAGGACCGGCCTGCTGAAGCCATCCCTCTTTTCCCCGCGCCCACACACCCTGATATTTCCAGGACTCTCGCAGTAGAGGCGTCACTTGACCTGTACGAGAACTGGGCCTCCTGGCTCCCATCCCCAGGCGCAGGACAGGCTTTCTCCTCCTTGGGTGCCTGGGAGCCTCCTCTTCCCCTCCCTAACTCTCCCCATATCTGTAAGACACATCGCACCTCCCCTCCTGAGCTGTCCTGAGGCATAACCAAATCAAAGAAAACAGAGATGATGAGTAAATGTAAAAATACACTGTCCATTTGGCTTCATCTTCTAGCATGTTTGGAGAGTTCTCGGTACTTCTTCCCCCAAGCAATAGAATGTAGGCAAAGCATGAAGAGAGATGCTGGGGCCTCTGACCCCATTGAGGGACCTCTTTCAGCTGACCCCTAATCCTCCTGAAGCTTTCTAAGCAGGAGCAGCCAGCATAGCTCAGGAGGAGTGGGGATACCCTTCCCAAGATGTCCATGGTAGCCATCCCTGGGCACCTGCTCTGTGCCACCCATGCTGGGCACTGGGAACACCAGAGTGACCGACAGCCCACAACTCCCGCCCCCACAGGGCTCCAGGAACAGACAGATGTGGCACCCAAAAAATGTAGCCACATCCCTTTGCAAGGAAAATGGGTATCTGACCAAGTGTGGGCTCAAGAGGTCATGGTCACTAGGAGGTCGAGCTGGCTGGTCCCTCACAGGTCATCAAGCCCACCCTCTGGGTATTTAGAGGAAGACCTGAGACTCCCAGAGAGGTACACATCAGAGCCCAAAACCAGGTGGGTGGGAGGTGGGCAAACAATGCAGCCAGAGCCCTTTTGCCCTGCCCAGCACCCTGGCATCTCTTCCCAGGAGAGAGAGGTTGGTCTCCCAAGCACATTCTGTCCTGGCTCTTGCCCAGCTCCCAGATGGGCGCTCCACAAGTACCTGCTGAGTGGCAGCATGAATCTTGCTCACAGTCTCCGTACCTGGAGCTGCCCCAGGTGCCCTGGGCTGTCGGGCTGTCTCACCTCCGTCACGGCAGTTATCCCCACAGCCTCTCTAGCTAGTGCACTGACTCACATTTTGCAGGTGAGAAAAGCATGCTGGGAGGTGGGGCTGCTCAGGTCTTACACCTCTGCCCCACGGTCCAGAAGCTCTCGCTCGTGGCCATCCTCCCACCCATGCCCCTTGCCCCGGGCTCTTCAGAACCACCATGGTGTGCATAAAAGGAACAGGGCTGTCAAACGCCATGCTGGGGGCTTAGCTTGGCAACAGGCCCGCCCTATGGGCAGAGGCACACTGCGCAGCATTGATTTCTTCCCAGAGAGCTTCCCTTTGGCCTGAGGGCTCTCAGAAACCCATGAGAACGCTGAACTCCTCAGCTTCCAAATCATGGAACGTTACCTCCTCCACCTCGGAGACGGGAGTTCTTGTTTTCAGGACACCATGCCTGGAATTTGGGTTTCTCTTGTTGGTTCTGAAATGTGAGCAGTATGGGGGGAAATGAAGGCAGGCATAGCCCAGCTAGCTGGAGGGCAGTCTTGCAGCAACCTTGGGCACACAGAAGACTGCCAGAGACACAGAGGCAGAGGGGTATCGGACAACCATGGCCACCGGGCTCTGCACTTCGCTGCAAGAAGCAGTGCTCCGGGCCTCACGTGACAGCCCATCCACTAGTGTTTTGTTGTATGTCTTGACAATATTAGGTTTCCTTATCCTGCAATAGATCCCAAGCAGAATTCAAGGAGGTGAAACTCCTAGAAACATATTTACAAAAGGGAGAAGGCATGGCTCCAGCAAAGGAGGATGCAATAGAAAATTATAGCACACAGAATCCCCTTTAAAATTACTCCGGAATTCATGCAGACTGTTGTGAAAAGATGTTCACCACAGTATTATCTAGACAGTAAAACACATGGCGGTGTCCAACAATGACGGTAACTTAAAGGAGCAACTTACAGGAAGCCCTCAAAATTTTTAAACAATTTATTATAGTACAGAGGAAATGCTTAACAGAATGATACCTGGGGCAGCTCCATAGCCTAGCGGCTAAGCCCTGTGCATAGGGAGCCAGATCCCACATGGCAAACTGCAGTTCAAATCCCAGCCCCAGAGGCTTGAAAAACATGGGCGCTCAAAATCCTGATAGGATGGAAAAATGAAGAAAAAAGGGTTGCAGCATGACCATGCCCCATGGGGGTTCTCTCTCTCTCTCCCTCTCTCTTTTGCAAGCACACTTACCCTCTGGCAATTAAAAAAAAAATGTTTTTAAAAGAATGATACCAGGCATAGTTCAAATATGTGAAATACACATCACCTGTAGGAGTAAAAGAAAACAGGAATACCAAAATGAGTATCCAAGCACAGGCAGTTACGTCTGCCTGAATATGTTACTGTTTTGTCACCTGAAATTTTCCCCACAAGGCAAGCCTCGTAGCTTTGTGATAAAGGGAGCCAGATCCCACTGTGGTTCAAATCCCAGCCCTAGCAGCTTGACAGTCTTGCTAGGCATGTGTGCATGCAGCACTAAACCCCAGCAGGATGGGAGACGGAGAAGGGATTGCAGCATGACCACACTCCGCTGAGGAGTATTTTCTCCTTCCCCTCCCTCCACAAGTGCATGCACACTTTGGCAGTTAAAAAACATATACATGGGACCAGCAAGTGGCGTGGTGGTTAAGGTGCTGGACACTCCCACATGGCCAGCCACGGTTTGAGTCCTGAACCTGGTGGCTTGATTTTTCATTTTATCTCTCTCTCTCTCCCTCTCTCTCTCTGTCTCCCTCTGTCAAACGAAAATAAGTGATGAATAAATAAAAGTAAATAATTTTTATTTTAAATTCCCAGCAGATGGCATAATGGTTACATTGCTAGACTCCCACATGGCCAATTGTGGTTC